AAAATACTATTTTGTCTCTGTACTTTCAATTATGGTTCATTTTTGTCTTTATTTGATTTATATACATTTTTTTTCTCATTTTAATTCTTGTGCTTTTAAAAGATTTGTTTGGGTGATTACACTTCTACAAAGTTAACATTTTTATTTCTTCTATTGTAATTTAGCCAAGACACTTACCTGTTATATTTCTTGAAATTTAATGATGACTTTAAATGAAAGGAATTTTTATTATATAAATATAGAGTCATATTTTAACGGATTTTTTTTTAAATAATTACTTTTTAAAAACAAATGACAAAGGTAGGCTAGGATCAAAACTAATTCCAAAAATATGGTAGGTAAATCTACGAAATCGTGGCCGTCGACTGCGATTTAGGACGAAATCGCAGTCCTAGGAACGGCTGCGACTTCGATTTGACGTGGCTCCATGTGTAGCCAACGGCTGCGATTTCAGCGGAAAAAAAAAGGAAAATATGTGGAAGTCGCTTGCGTTGCATGCGACTTCAATAAGAGGAAGTCGCGTACATCGTCTGCGATTTCCGTTTGGAAGTCGCATACATCGCCTGCGACTTCCAAACGGAAGTCGCGTCCATCGTACGCAACTTCCACGTCAACGACAACCCACCCGCCACATAAACAATACACGTTGCACGGAAGAAGGTCCATTGTATGTGAGTTTTGACCCCTCCTTTGACCTAACCTATTTTTGTCAATAGTTTCAAAAACCTAAGTTACTTTTGTATTTATTTATTTAATTTACATTTATTTAGTTATTATTTTTAAATTAACATTATTTTTGTAATTTCTTTTTAAAATGTCATTATTTTAAAACTTAACCCTACTTTAACTTTAAGAAAAACATATAATAAAAATAAGTTTAAATATCATTTAAATATTTATCTTAGTCTCTAAGAACTTTAGGTGTGATCGGAAATTGTTGTCAATTTCAACAATTCACTGCCAAAGCATTCTCAAAATTAGTCCGAAACTTGAAGTTCAACCCAACAATGAGTATGATGTCAAAATGATCTATTAAACACAAAATTAGAAATTGAATGATGTAATTATTGAGATATTTAGACAGTGTATGAGATAACAAACTGTAATAGTAATTAAAATGTAAACTAAATCAAAGCAAATCTGCAGAAAGTTCGAGGCCAATCTATTTTTAATTGAGTAGCTAATACCTACCTCATGCTTGTGTCCCAACCTACCATTGAAAGGCAAAAATCTGCAGTCGGCTAAAGTAGACAGCAACTTTAATCTAATTTCCTTCCCTTAGTTTTATAATGGCATAAATCAAGCCCACATCGTGGCTCAAGGTCAATCAATTAATGACTAGAAGGAACAAATTTCTAAACATAATTAAAAGTCTCTGTCATGGCAACATCCACCCGTCCCACGCCAACCAAAGAGAAAACGGACTGTTGTTTGGGTTTTTAAGTTATCTAAATTCAATTAGCAATGAGCTATATTTTTAACATGTAATTCTTAACGCTCACGCAAATTTAAGCACAAAACAGAGCCAAAAACCTAGGATACAAGCGCAAAAAATTTACACTGGTGTGGTTAAAATTACAACAAACAAACTCAGATGATATACAAACAAAACAAGGCAAACCAAAAACCAAAGGCAGATCTAAGGCTTAGCCAGAGGGAGAGGGGCGCGCGCGACGTGGTTTTTGTCAGCAAAGTGATTAACCAAAGCGAGCGCATTACTGGTGACTTGAGCCACAAGGGTGACTTTTTTCCTAATGCTGGCCTTCACTTGGCCGTCCGTACGGCGGCCGGCGAAGCCGTCGAGGCAAGTGGTTTCATCGGTGAGGGCGGCGCTGACCCACGTCTGGACGTTACTCATGTGCCACAAGAAATCCCCACCAGCTGTTCGACGTAAGTCCCCGAGCTCCTTCACGGACCGTCGGAGGCTGTCCACGCTGTCGCCCATGTTCTCTATGCAGTCCTTCACCGCCTGGTACTCGAGGCCTCTCATTGGCCCCCTGCGCTTCCCGAGCCCGGCCACGAACGTTGCGGCTTGCCGGGCCCTGCTCAGGCTCACCGACAGGGCCGTCTGGGCCAGCTGCCGCCCGCTCTGCCGGATGGCGCTGGCGTAGCCCGACAGGGATTCAACGCACAGCGTCGGGTAGCGTGTCACTCGGCAGGATGACTCGATGAAGCTCGTGGGGGAGGAGGCTGAGTCTGCGGCGGCGGCATTGTGGAGGACTGCAAGGATGAGAAATGCAAATGGGAGTGAAATCTTGAGCCTTGCCATTGCTTTTGAGGGATGAAACCATTGGGTGCGAAACAAAAGATGTGGGAAGTGTTATTATATAGAGATTTTTCATAAAAATTAATGATATGTAAAGACAAGATTTAGATTTGGTCCTCACCCCGTTAAGCAACCAAATTAAAAAGTATTTCAATTCGATTTGAGCTTATTGGAGGACCATTCAATTAATGGGCATGTAATTGGGGTTCAAATCCTCAAATCCGCATTTGTTTAAAAAAAGAAAAAGTTGTCATTCTTATTTTCCCCTATAAAGGATAAAAGAGATTACCAAAATTCAAATTTAATAAGATGTTTACTAAACCTTGCCATTTTAATTTTGGTAAAATAAAATAAAAGTTACCAAGATTAAATTATTGGTCCCGTGAGTTTTTTTAGATTATGTCTACATTTCTAAATTTTAAGAAAGATCTCACTCAGGATATTTGTGTAATAAATTCTTTGACATTTTAAGTTTGTATATAATAAATTATGAATAACTTTAAAAAGTTTTTAGATCCCATATTAAAAATTTAAACATTTTTGCAATTTGAAGATTTGAAAGTTGACCAAAATTATAATTTAACCTTGAATATTTTTATTTATGTACTCATTTTTACTTTCCCCTAACTAAACGCCTAGTAGAATTTCTTCCTCCCTTCTCTAAGTTGTTATAATACAAACACATTAATTTATTCCACTGATATAAACATACTTCAGGTAATTTTAAACATCAATTTCTCTTTATAAGTTGGTTGAAATCTTTTTCCTGGGATATCGGTTATATGTTCAGAATTTAGATACTCTCCATCTTTATGAATTAAGATAAAATAAAGTAAGTGGTATATTTTGCTCTAACTTAACAAATCTATTTATTTATTTTTGTCTCAACTTTTAAGATGGCATTTAATTTGTGAAATTATTTATGTATTTTTTAGGATGTAAAAAGAAAAAGGACAAAAGTTGGTTAGGTTCTGGTAGATAATGAATAAAAAAGCTGACACGTCCCACGTGATTTCTTGAAAGGGGTAGAGGTCCCTTTCGTCTTCCTTTTTTACTGCATTATTTAACGGTGTTTATTATTTATTTATTTATTTATTTATTTATTTATTATTATTATTATTATTATTTCCTCCCTTTTTCCTTCAACCCAAACACTCTTTTCTCGGCGTCCTTGTCTGCCATTTATATCAACTTGCATTTGAAAATAGGTTGAATTATAAAATCAAAATCATTGAATTTTGCCCCTTTTTTGGAAAAATATTCGTATTCTTTGTAAATTTCAATATTATCATTCAATTTTTATACACGTTTCAAAAATACTATTTGAGCCAACGTTCTATATTGAACAAAAAATTGACGTGGTAGAATTCGAAATGATGTGACAATTAACGTGAAGCTTGTCTAAGTTACGAATAAAAAGAGATAAGATATGAAAGAACTTATCGTTTCTAAAAGTGGAATTTCAATGAAATTTGGTATAATTGGATTGTTTTCCTTTTAAAATCAATAGTTTTCCTCTACTATATCTCTTTTTTTTCAAACTTAATACTTTCATGTTTATTGTTATGTCATTCCAAACTATGTCACGTCAACTTTCTATCAAGATATTAATAGAAATTTTTCATATTTTTTAATTGTTTATAAAAGATCAAAATAGTATTGAAACTTTTGAAAGATGTATTTTTAAATAAAAAGTTTTTTTTTGGGGTTGAATTTAGCATTTGAAAATGTGTAGGGTTTGGGAGGGAAAGTGGGATTAGGTTTGCCAAACAACCAAAATTTTCCTCGCGTCCTTTCCAAAGGTAAGAGTTTAAGAAAAATCTTAAAATATTCAAATATTTTCCAGTCAATCATTAGCTTAACCTTATGTTTGGAACAAGGATGTGAAGGATTCTCAAATCATAAATGATTTTTGAAATTATTTCACATGTTGTTTGGAAAGGGAAAAAATGAGTTTGAAATCACAATAGGTTTGAAATCACAATAGATTTGAAATCACCTTTTAAGTCCCAAAATTTTTCATTCTAAGTAGTTTGGATTTGTCAGGATTTGAAATTAAAAAGTGTCTAATTCCAAATTTACCCTACATTCATTCAGATAATCTTCAAACATGACCTCATAAGCAAATAGTCGTTCAACTAAATTACTTTTTTTTCGTCTCTCTTCTACAAACATTTTTTGAACTATCATTCAAGCATAATACAATTTTTTTATATATTTAAAATTTCTCTTTAGTATTTTTTAAAACATTTTTGTAATTTTTTTAAAGTTTCCTTATTGTGCTTTTGTTTGTGAGGTTTTTTCTTCAATCAAAAGATGTTAAAAAAAATTAAGCAAGTAAGAGGTTGCATTAGAAGAAAAAAGTAAACATATGAATTATTTTTGTTACAAAATATTCGACTTTAAGTTTTTTCAAGTATTTGTTTACAAGTTTTTTCTTTTTTAATCTTATTGGCAAGGTTTAATTTAATATCTTGATATGATTAAATGATTTCATTTTTACATGTGGTTGGCATTACTATTTCATATTAAAATATTATATTACTATTAATATAATATTAATAGTGTTTATGCAAGAATTTGCACAACGGTTCTTCACGAATCGAGCTCGAACCCGGTCTCCGGTTCCGACCTGAACACTAGAGTGGACCTGCACAAGAGGGTAAGCACTCCGACGCTCAAGTCAGTATAGATCGAACTCCTTATTTAGTTCGAGGTGAGATTCGATACCTGAGCGTGAAATGAAGCCCTCTATTTATAGGTGACGGATCCGACAGCACACACGACCAGCGGTTACATGTCTTTTCTCATGTCGGACCTGTCGGGTTCCGAGCAGGTCGGACCCCAGTCAGGTCGAACTTTGGTGCCCATACTTAGTCTTTTATAGCGGGTAAACTTGGTC